ATGAGATACCATCAAAAAGTCAGGAATCCCAGGCAGTCTACTTGTATTTAGTATCAGTTTTATATTTTATACTCTATTGCAATTTTGTAACAAAAGAAGATTGATATATCACTCAAGTAAATGCATGACTGAAGGTGATTATTTCTTAAGCTTTTGGGAGGGAGGAAAATGCACCTTATTTTCCTGATTTTGCTTTTGGGTGAAAATTAAAACAACTATTAGTTGTATCATTGGGTAATATTTTAAATTAATTTATTAGAAATATCTAATTTCAAGTACAAGCAGTACTTTGGGGACAAAAACAGAAGAAACTAAAATTAGCTCTCTTCATAAAAATCTCATAAAGGCACATTAGATTTAGAAATATTAAAAACAATATGACTGTGTATATGTACATCAAATTTTCAGACTTGAGGTCAAGCACTATGTGGTACCTTTCATATTTAATTCAACATTGTACCTCTCCTGCCAAGTAATCCAACATGTATTGGATGCATCCATTGACAATACTTCCAATCAACTCAATGGATCATCACATTGTAACATCTCTGAATAGAAATCATTTACATTCTCACAGAAATTATGAAAATTTGACTCTCTTCCTTATGCTTGATAAAAACACATATAATTGATGTAAAGTAGAAAGTGGCTTTTCCATGAACTGTTGCTAGTTAATTAATTGTAGTTTGAGGAACTCCATTAATAATAAGAAATAATAATATTAATACTTGCTAACATTTATATAGGGATTACTTGTGCCAGGCACTGTTCTAAGCCATTTACACATAATAGGTTATTTTATCCAGACAATAGCCCAATAAATCAGATACTTTTTCCCCCATTTTATAGACTAGAAAAGGCACTGGTCACCCAGAGGCCTGGTCACACAGTGGCAGTTGGGAGTTTGAACCAAGACAATATGAGTTCATATTTCCTCCTAATCATTATGTATCTTTTAAATATGAGGTAATAAGCTTAGGTAAATACTTTTAAATTTTATAATGTTTAAAAGTGATGAAATATCATTTATTATGACATCTATTATTACTATGAAACATGAACAGCAGCATATAAAAATTTAAGAAGAAAATATAGTAAAATATCTTTATGTCTTTGAAATAACAAGGTGCAAAACGTGCCAGCAATAAGGAAAAAAGAGATTTCAACTACATAGATTTTAGGAACTTCTGTTTATTGAAAGACAACATAAAGTATAATTATAATTATAATGCAGAATATTTTGGTAAAGCATAGACTTGGTGAAGGATTAGTACATAGAATATTTAAAGATCTACAAACTATTAAGGAAATGGTAACAACCTAACAATAACTGGACAGAAGAGATAAATAGAAATTTCACAGATTAAGAAATAGAATAGCTTTATAAATATGTGAGAAGATACTTGAACTAATAGAAATACAAAGTGAGAAAGCATGATTCAGTATCGGTTAATGGCTGTCAAACAGGTAGAATTAAGAAAAATGATAACAGTTTTTTTAAGTCTGTATATCAGTGATTATAAGTATACACTGATGGTGGGATCATTAATTGTAAAAAACACTTTGAAAGCCATCTGGCATCGTCTATTAAGATTGTACGGAGCCCTGGAGCTCAATGGTTAAGACCTTGGCTGTTAATCAAAAGGTCAGAGGTTGGAACCCACTAGCTGTATGGGAGAAGAGACTTGGCAATCTGTTCCCATAAAGATTATATCTTTGGAATCCCTGTGGGGCAGTTCTGCTGTGTCCTGTAGGGCTGCTATGGTTCGAAATCAGCCTGTCTACACACAAGAGGACTAAGATTGTAGTTGCACATATTCTATTATCCATCAAATCCACTCCTAGATATATATCCTAGAGAGCAGTGAGTTTCAAACTGTTTTGACCTTGGCCCACATTGTAAAACCTTTTTTAAAAAAAAAGTCTACAATATGCCCCAGCACTCTTATGAATATTCATTTATAAAACTGAGTCAAAGTTTTATCGGACAATACATATCCTTGTGTTATGCTCTAAATTATGCTCTTATCCTTCACCTAAAGAGTGGCTGGCAACACTGTCTAAACTGATTTAACAGTTTAACATCATGGTGCCTTCCACTGTACTCTTAGACATGTACACAAAAGCATATACACGAATAGGTCCATGTCTTCATTGCTCATCATAGCGAACAATTAGAAACAACCCAGATTCTCCCTGATAGGAGAGTAAATAAATAAAACAGGGTGTGCAGGTTGTCCTCAGCTTACAATGGGGTTCTGTTCTGATGACTGTTCTGACACAAGTCGAATAATCCCTCATTTCTTTTTTAGTTTTCTTTCTTATTGCCTTTTATTATCAGAATCTTCATAAATTCAATCTTTATTTGTCTTTAGGGGTTGGCATGATAATGACATCAGCAAATTCCATCCTACAACATTGTATGTAGTGCATAGTAATAATGATAATAAAAAAACTAACAGTTATAAGTGCAGTTTGTTGTAACTCAAATACATTATAAGGTGATGATTACCTATATTTACAATTTACAATTATAGACAATGAAAATGAAATTAATGTATATACAATAATATTGATAAATCTGAGAAATGTTATTGTTAGATACTGTCATTTTCTGCCTCATGGTAACCCTGTACACAACAGAATGAAACTCCGCCCAGTCCTGTACTATTCTCCTAATCATTGCTGTGTTTGAGACCATTGTTGCAGCAACTGTATGAAACAATCTTGTTAAGGGTCTTCCTCTTTTTCACTGACCCTCTACTTTACCAAGCATGATGTCCTTCTCCAAAGACTGTTTCCTTCTGATAACATGAATGACCAAAGTACTTGAAACAAAGTCTCACCATTCTTGCTTCTAAGGAGCATTCTGACTGTACTCCTCCCAAGACAGATTTGTTCTTTTTTTTCCCCCTTTTTTAAATTGTGATTTGGGTGAAAGTGTACAGAGCACATTCATTTTCCATAAAGCAGTTCATATACATTTTGTTTCATGACATTGATTGTAATCCCCATTATGTAACCACTCTCTTCCCACTTCTTCCTGGTGGTTACCTCCTCCCTGTGTCCTTTCCTAAGCATTCCTCCCCTCTGAGCTATCTCCTGCACAAACACTGCCCTTCTGATCACCCATGATGGATTGTTCTAAGGAGTATTCCTACCTAGTGTAAATGTTCACCTTATATGCCTGTGTGTTGTTTGGCTGGAAGTCACGGGAGTGAGTTCAGTTCCAGGCATGAAGTTAGCAGTTAGCGACCATAGTATCGGGAGTTTCACCAGTCTCTATCAGACCAGTATGCCTGGTCTTTTTTTATGATTTTGACTTTTGTTCCACATTGTTCTCCCACTCTATCCAGGATCTCTTGTGCTGATTCCTTTCTGAGTGGTTGACAGTGGTAGCTGGGTACCATCTAGTTCTTCTGGTCTCATGGTCATGTAGGCTGAGGTTTACATGGTCTGCTAGTCCCTTGGACGAATTGTTTCCAAGTGTCTTTGGTTTTCTTCATTTTTCTTTGCTCCAGAAGAGGAGAGACCAATTGTTGCATCTAGATGGCCGCTTACAAGCATTTAAGACCTAGTCGACACTCACCAAAACAGGATGTAGTAGAACAATGTTTTTGTGTGGTATGTTATGTAAATTGAGCTTGCTGTCCCCCATGAAGATGTGTTAGTTCTTATGTCAGTCCATGGTATGTGCAGTATTCTTCACTAACATAATTCACAGCAATATGTATGTGTGTGTGTGTATGTATATATATGCCTTTGAATACACACATGCATACATATATTGGTTAACCAACCCAAAAACCAAACCCACTGGCACCAAATCTATTCCAACTCATAATGAACCTACAGGACAGAGTAGAACTGCTCTGTAGCATTTCCGCAGCTGTAAATCTTTATGGAAGCAGACTGCCACATCTTTCTGCCATAGAGTGACTGATGGGTTCCAATCACTGACCATTCTGTCAGCAGCTGAGCAGTCAACCACTGCACCACCAGTGCTTGTATTTGGCATCATATCTCTATATATTTTAGTATACACATATATTTTTAATATAGCTATGCATTTTATAGGAGCTCTGGTAGTGTAGTGCCTAGGGCACTTGACTGCTAACCAGAAGGCTGGCGGTTCAAACCCACCAGCCACTCCTCGGAAGGAAAGTTGGGCAATCTACTTCTGCAGTGATACTGCCTCAGAAACCCAAGGAGGGGTCACTATGAGTCGTGTCCAACTCAACGGCAAATAACAACAACAACAATGCATTTTATGTAGATAATATGCTATCTGCTGTTACCATAAAAAGCATTTGAGTATAAGGAACTCAGTTAAGCTTTGATGCCCTTAAATGAACACTCAAATATGTCCCTGAAAGTTTGAAGCCCTCTGTGCTCATTTCTGTGGACTGGTAACTCCAAAGACCTTTCAGAACAGGGAATGTACCAGGCTCTATCTCAGAAAGTCTGAAAGCACTCAGAGAATTTCTTTAGGCAATACACTGCTGAAAGGAGTCAGTGGCAGTGCAATTTATATGCCAATTGACTAAAAAGAAAACCAGGTAGAGAATAATAAGATTAAAAAAAAAAAAATCAATGTCTTACAGCCAACTATCTTTATGTCTGGTTCACCCTAAATTTCCTTCCTGGCTTACTATTTAGGATTGATGTAACTAAGAGGCAATTGTGTCTAGAATAATATATTTCTCTAACTATTTAGTTTTTGTTTTATACTGTTTACGTCTTAAACATGTAGAATAAAAGAAAATACTAAATTACTGTTTGCACTGGGATATTAGTTTTCAGACTAAATACCTGTCTGTGCTGTCCATTGATATTTTTAAAGCTAACATTCTTCTCCTAATAGTTATAAAGTCAGAATAATATATGTTTTAAATAAGATGAGCTTTTAAATGAAAATCAATAGTGTATTTTCCATAAAACAAGATAGCTTGAAAAACTACTTCAGACCTTATTTCTAAACATAAACATTATTTTTATAGGTCCTGGAAAGTAATTTTGACTTTTTACTACCCAATGAAATACTAATAGAGTGTGACAATTATCTGGTAATCAGTGATCTATTAAAAACTCACATTGAAGTGAATCCAGTCATTAAAGTAGAAAATTCACATCTGAAAAATTTAGACTTTCACAAATAAGATTTGTAAATAAGCTATATGATACATTATTTCTCTGTTGCATTTTCTCCCATTCATTTCCTTCAATGAAGAAATGCAATTTTATTTCCTGAGTGTTTGCTTATTTTTTTTCTCTACTATAATCTACTCCATGTATACCATCCCATCCTCCTTACATAGGAGCACGTGCTTACACTTATACAGATATACACACTTGTCTTTGAACTCCTACTTGTATTCTAAGTTTATGATGTCTTCTCCAACCTTCCTAGCCCCTATTGACCTTTATAGCATCTGTTGTTTCATAGCTGACATATTATGGTAACGTAATATTATGGTAACGTATGGTACCATAATATGAAGCAACATGGTAGAAAATAAACAGACTGTAGATAGATTTCACATTTTACTGCTGCCTCATTATTAATTTTATTACAATAAACAGTTACTTAACCATTTTGTATCAGATTGGCGAATATAGAATCCATTTTGAAAATCAGCATGATTGTGTAATAAAGCACCTGTTATTTAAACAATGTTTCACAGCTTACTAATAAATTAGTGTTAATAAATTTCAAGAACCATGAAAAGTCTGAGATTTTACCTACTGGCAAGCTAGCAAACTCACTTGCCATAGTTTTACGGGTGCTGGCAGAAGACACAATGCTGCAGACCCAAAGACAAAGAATAGTTTAATTCTAACAGCAATTATTGTTGTTGTTGTTATGTGCCATCGAGTCGGACCCGACTCATAGCGACCCCTCCTTGGGTTTCAGAGACAGTATCACTACGGAAGTAGATTGCCCCATCTTCCTTCCGAGGAGTGGCTGGTGGGTTTGAACCGCCGGCCTTCTGGTTATCAGTCAAGTGCCTTAGGCACTACGCTACCCAGCAGTAGCATCAGCCATAATATGAACATGTTTGTAGGTTCATGAGCCCAGATTCACACAGAGCAACACATAGAGAGCTAGGTGATACCTTCATTCATAGTGGATTTTGCTACTAGAAGGGAGCCTGAATTAATGGGCATAAACCATTTTGGCTTTAACTTCAGAGGAAAACAACATTATTATACTGGACAATACACAAATCCATTTGCTTATAATAGATTCTACATGTCTTCCAAGCTTGTTCATTATACAAACATCTTTGAAAAGATAGTTTGGAGCAAAATTGCTTGATGAATTCTTATATCTGATAATGCTTAGTGTCTACTCTCCTACTTGACAGTCACCATTGGTTTTCTAATTCTCTTAAAATGAAATCTAAACCCCTTATCTTGATTTATTCCTGTTGCTGTCAAGTTATGACTCATAATGATTTTTTAGTACAGAGTAGAACTGCCTGCTCCATAGAGTTATCAAGGCTATAATCTTTATAGAAGCAGACCGTCACTGTTTCTCCCCCGCAATGGCTGATGGGTTCAAGCAGCCAGTCTTTTGGTTGGCAACTAAGTACTTAAGCACTTTACCACCAGGGTTTAGGAGATTACTGTCTGCCTCCCTAAGGTCACCTTGTTCTCTATTGGCTTGCTTTCTACTTCTCAAACCCTGCATCTGTCCTTGCATTAGGTTCCTTCTGCCTGGTATGTTCTTCTCCCAGATCATCACTAGAGAGCCCCTTGATTCAAGATTTAGGTTAAATGTCAAATCAGAAAGTGAGGCTTCATCTGACCAACTACTGTAAAGTAATTCCTTGAGGTATTCTGTCACATTGTTTTAGTTTCTTCTTTTTTCATCATACTGTATAATTCTTTTTTTGTTCTTTATTGTCTGTCTCTGCCTCCAGTCTCTACCACATAGAATGTAAATTTGTTTTAAATACATAAATAGTTCAAGTGACACCCTGTTTTAGGTTCCATTGGCACTAAAATGTGCATGATCCATATCTAGGCAATCATAATGTGATTCTATGCTGTTTGTTGGCTCTTACAAAAATCCATGTGTACATACTAACTCTCATTAATGCTACTTCAGAGCCATTTCTTATTTTGTTTAAAATTTAGAAAAAAGAAATATACAAATAGATTATGTATCAATTGAGATCTTCTTATAGTTAGTAAGGAACTCTGGTGGTGTAGTAGATAAGGCATTTGACTGCTAACCAGAAGGTCAGCGGTTCAAACCCACCACCTACTCTGCAGGAGGAAGATGGGGCAATCTACTTCTGTAAAGATTTACAGCCTTGGAAACCCAGTGGAGGTTACTGTGAGTCAGAATCGACTTGATGGCAGAGTTTTTGTTTTGTTTTTTTTTCATTTAATATAGTTAGTAGGTTGCTATTGGTTTTGATGAACAGTCAACAGCTCTTTTGAGGGCTTCGAAGGAGGAATTTCCCATGCTTCTCTTTTATCTTCTGTAGGCATTCCTTCACAATCTCTTGCTTCCCATAGATGTATATTTATGTGGTATCTTCTGCCTTTAGAACATCAAATATTTACAGTATTTACGATTCTTTTCTATCATTTCCTCAGTTATTTTTCTTATACTCAATAATTTACTTGGCATAGGAGGCATGGGATATTATAATACAATTGCTACAAATGTATGTCTTTTGGAGATGTATGTGGGAAAACTGTGTGTGTGTGTGTGAATTGTTTTCCTTTGTGAATTACATGTTTGTATTTTTAGTTTCTATTTTCCTCCTTTCTCTTAGTTGATTCCACCAAGATTTGGGTGTTTTAAACATGTTATACTTATATATACATATATACTGTGCAGGCATACCTTTGTTTTATTGTGCTTTGCAGACACTGCATTCTTTTACAAATTGAAGGTTTGTGGCAACCTTGTGTTGAGCAAGTCTATTGGCACCAATGTTCCAACAGCATGTGCTCACTTTGTGTTTTATTGGTAATTCTCAGAGTACTTCAAACTTTTTCATAATGCTATTGCACACTTCATATACTACAATATAGTATAAACATAACTTTTATATTCACTGTGAACCAAAAAATAAATGTGACTTTCTTCATTGCAATATTAGCTTTATCGCAGTGGTCTGGAACTAAACCTGCAATATCTCCAAGGTATGCCTGTATGTAACAAGGGTTTATGTGCATATCTTTTAAAAGACTATTACTAATATAAGATGTAACTTATCTAAAAGGTAGTTATTCACAGATATGGTATAATTTCAGGTTAAAAATTTCCTTGTTTTTGTGGAACCACCATTCTTAAAATTCCTTTTCTAAATTTATTTTTAATAGCAAGCAATAAAAGAGAATGTCAAAAGAAAAGAAGCTGAGGAAAAAGAAAAACGTGCCAAAATAGCCAAAGAGTTAGCAGAGAAGGAAAGACATGAGCGCCAGCAAAAGAAAAAGCGCTTACTAGAAATGAAGACTGGTGAGTACTATTACATTTGCTATTTATTCTATGTACATTTATTGTTTTTATTTTATTAGTAGTTTAATGTACTTTGGTGGAAAAGAAAGATATAATCATTAATTTGTATAGTTAAACTATAATCAATTATTTTCTATGGGCTTTCCCCTCTTTAGTACTAAAAACAGTTGTGTCTTCTGTCATTGGTCATAGTGGTTTTAGTTCTCTGGCATACTCTTTTCACTCTAGTACATTCACATTTCCTTTCCTTCTACTTCAATAATCAATCTGTAGTAATTTATATCGATCTATAATAAATTTGTAGCTATAAGAAATGGGTTATAAGAAATTCTGCAGGACATATAACCTTCCCCCAAGGGAGGGGGAAAAAAGTGATAGATAATTAAAGGAAACTCAAGAGACTTATTAATCAATTGCAATATGTAGAATTTCCTTTTATTTCAATCTAAACAAATAACTTTAGAAAAAAGCAGTGAGAAAAATGTGAATACCTTTTTTATAAGTGTTACAATGTTGTTGTCAGTATATGTTAAAGTAAGTTTTAGAGGCACTGTCTTAATCTCTTTAGGCTCCCATCACAAAATACTTCAAAGTAGGGCATTTAAAGAACAGACATGTATTTTCTCACAGCTTTGGAGGTTGGAAGTCCAAATCAGGGTGCCAGCCTTGTCGATTCCATCTCAGGACACTCAGAGAGTAATTGTTCCATGTCCCTCTCCTAGCTTCTAGTGACTACTGGCAATCCTTACCATTACTTTGCTGCTTGAAAATGTATTTTCACATGGTGTCTTCCCCCTGTGTGACTGTGTTTTCACATCTGTTCTCTTCTTCTCACCACTCAGAATATATTAAGATTAGGACTCAACCCTACTCTAATATGACCTCATTTACTTTAACCCATAACAAAAGAAAAACTGCATTTTGCCAAACAAAGTCATATTCACAGGAACAGGAATTAAGACTTCAATATATCTTTTTTGGGGGGTAATCCATAACAGATGCATACTGCAGATTCATATATGAAAACCTGTGATATCAAGAATTTAAGTAAAAATAATCTAGAGTGGTTGGGAAGTGAGTTAGAGTATATATGAAACAATATTTGCCATAAATTGATACTTGCTAAAAGTTGAGTGATGGGTTTGTGTGTGGAGGGGTATATTACACTATTTCTCTACTTTTGTATATTTTGAAATGTTCTGTAATTTAAAAAGTTTTTGGAAAAAGCTTAAAAAGAAAATACAAAAATTACAGTTTTACAGAAGCATATATATATATTTTTTTCAAAGTTAAAATATTCCACTTAGAAGCAAAAAGAATTAAGTAAATTGTAGTTATATTTTCACTCCCTGAAAATTCTGTCTTTTCCACCTCCAAGTCACTAAGGATTGCAGAAAACTTTAATTAAAATCCATCAGCATCACTGCTAAATTACCGTGGTTTACAATTCAGGCTGCAAATTCACCCAAGTTTCCCCAGGGATAGACAGAGATGCTTACTTTGCCTCCTTTACTTTCACTTTTACAGACATATTTTATGTTTAATAAAGCAAACTGAGTATCTTAATGTATCACACTGTTTCTTCCAGGGAAGAAAAATTATCAAGCATAATTTCTTGTTTACAAGAGTACATTTGAAATTCAAGGAATATTTTCAGACTTATCTTAAAGTGTCAAGAAGAAGGGAGATCAGAGTCTAGTATTGATTTCAAAAATATACTTCTAGCAGTAATTTTGAGAAGTACATTACTGAGTAATTTACAGAACATTCTGGTGTTTGAACATTGGCTCGTTTGGCTAAAGAGTCATCTAGATGAGTTACTGGAGGCAAGATTAGCTGTATTGTTTGTGGTTTTTGCCCCAGGGTCTAAGACACAGAGCCTTTCAGCCATTCTCTATTATATCTATTTGAAAGTTGAAAACCTGATATGATGCAAAAATTATAACAAAACCTCAAATCCAATATAATCTTACAATGATTTAACTTAAAATTATGTATCTCCTGAAGATAAATTCCATTTTTAAGAAGGTTAAATTTATTTTCAGATTTAAAATAATACTTTACCATTATGGAGAACACAAATACACCTACTTCTCACTTATCGACTGTCTCATTATCTGACATTTCACATTTACAGAAAAAGTAAAAAAATCTACCATCTGACTATTTTGCACATGAACAAGTGGTGGTTATAGCAGCAGTGGCTGCAGAATGTCCCCTCCTTTGAGAGTCTCCAGGTGGCCTCTGGGAAACTGGGCCATGCTGCCCTACACCCTTCATTCCTTCGTGCTGGGAGGGGCACCATGTCCAGCTGCCACTTGGTGATAGCCTCCTCTGTGGCCAGGCCTCTGGGTAGAAATACAGGTAAGCCAGCAGGCACCTGTTGTATGTTCCCAGTTACTATACTGCCTCACACCCTGAAGTTCAAAATTGTTGTGGAGTAGAAAGGGAGGAAAGACAGAAGTTCTTGAAACAGTAGAAAAAATATGTGCAAGTTCAATGACATACAAAAGCAAGTCAAATTGGGCCTGAATCCTCTACCTTCATGGGGTCAGGTTGTGCCCAGGTTCCCAGCACCCATGCAGGAAGCCCCTAGTCTTGGTGGCTTGCAAGGCCTAGAAGGCAGAGCAGACTTACATGGGTGGGAGTGGAGTCTTGGAGATGGCTCCTTGGAGAAGCTCTGATCCAGCACAGGAGCAAGGTGAAGCAGTTAAGCCTTAGGTCCTGCAGTCACACAGCCCCACTTTAATCCAATTTTGACTCCTCCAAGGCTTCTTTTCCACAGAGGAGTAATCTATAGCTGACTCATCACAGTGATGAGCACATCAGTAAAGCTTACCTGTTAATATTTCTATGATCATATTTCCCAAATAAAAGATAAAATTAGACAAATGGATGGTCTGAAAACAAAAAGAAAGAACTACATTTTTGTATAAAGCTGTTTTTCACATAAAATCCTCATCTTTTAGAACTTAACTGTATCACTAAGTGAGGAGTGGGTATAGTAAATCAAGAGACCCATAATTTCCTATCCATAGAATCACTATTGGGAGCTCTGGTAGCATAGTGCCTAAGGTACTTGACTGCTAACCAGAAGGCTGGTAGTTCAAACCCACCAGCCACTCCTCAGAAGGAAGGTTGGGCAATCTACTTCCATAGTGATACCACCTCAGAAACCCAAGGAGGGGTCGCTATGAG